ATAAATTATAATTATATATTTTATATATTTCTATATTTCATATAAATGAAGGGTTATTTCTATTTATTCATATTGGAGGCTGGAAGAAATGCTCAAAAAAACAACAAAACCCCACAAAAATTGCAAAGAAACACCATGAAAATCTCAGCTAAACCTCAAAAATTCTCCAAAAAAATTTCTCAATCATCAAAGTTTTTTTGAAAATTATGTTCTCAAAAAAAAAAAAAAAACAGTTTTAAAAAAAAATCCTCAAATTTCTCCAAAAATCCTCAAAATTCTCCAAAAAAATCCCTCAAAGTTCTAAAACCTCAAGATTTTTTTAAAAACCCTAAAAATTCTCAAAACTCCTCCAAATTTTCACAACCCCCAAAAATCTCGAAAAAAACCTCAAAATCCTTCCAAAAACCCTCAAAAAAATCTCACCAAAAGCACTAAAAAATTTTCAAAAAGCCCCAAAATTTCCCCCCAAAAAACCTCAAAATTTCTTAAAAGCCTTAAAAATTCCCCAAATCCCTCAAAAATCTCAGACACTGCAAAATCTTGAAATAAAAAACCCTCAAAATTCTTCAAAAAACCTTCAAAATTCTCACTAAAAAAACCTCAAAATTTTCACCAAAAATCCTCAAAAATTCCCCAAAATTCTGAAAAAAAACCCCCATTACAAATCTTGAAAGAACCTTCAAAAATTCCCCCCCAAAAAATTCCCTCAAATAATCTCAAAAAACCCCATTAAAATTCTCCCTAAACCTTTCAATTGCTTGAAATCCTCTTTCAAAAATAAAAATTTACATTTAGGGGATTAATTCCACTCTTATTTCCTGCTGGATTTTTTATAAATATCCAATAAATTCAATATAAAATTCAAATTTTAACCCCAAACTTACCCCATTACTTACCCAGTGTTATTCATGATTTCTATGATTTGCTTGCTGAAACCACATTTTGCCATCTAAAATATAAAATAAAGATATTAAATATATTTATTTTTTTAATCCATGGAATTCCAGCCACAGTAATTCCCGTTTTTTTTGTTTTTTTTTTTTTTTTTTTGCTGGCCTTTAATTCCTTTTTCCATCCTTTTCTCTCCTGATTTTTTTCTGGATTTATGGAAAAAAAAAATCTGCTTTATTTTGATTCCACATGATAATCAACTAGAATAAATAAGAATGGCAACTTGTTGTATTTATTATCATTAATTTCATTATAATTTAACTAGGAACAATGGCAAATAATAAATAATTTAATGATAATGAATTAATAATTAATACCCACTGCCAACTCTTCACATAAGCACAGGAAATAGCAATTTCAATTAATTAATTAATTGACAGGTATTAGAGATCTCTATTATCTATATTAATAGATATTAATGGAAATCTCAAATAATTAGATAATATCCATAGAATCACCTAATATTTAGATAATTTTCATTAAAACATTGACTATTTATAGATAATATTCATAGAAATAATTAATATTTAAATTGTATTTATAGAAATATTGAATATTTAGATAATATTCATTGAAATAGATACTATTTAAATAATAATAATAATAATAAAATGGTTTTATTCTGTTTTTATGTTTGATAAAAACACCAACTAAAAAGGTGAAGAACTTTTCCAGCAGCACTGACTGCAATTAAGGAAGAAGAAATTCAAAATAATTCAATTATTTTCTGTATTTCCCACGTTACCTGTTTGTTTCCCTTCATAAAGAGCATCACAGGAGCTTTGTTTATCAAAGATTTCAGCCTAAAAAAAAAAAAAAAAAATTAAAAATATTTTTGTTATCAGCCCAAAAATAAGAAGTGAGGAATCTGCAGGAATTGCAGATAAGTAAAAATTAATTAAAAAGATATTAATTAATATTAAAAATTAGTGACAATTTTCCCCCACCTGTCCTCCAGTTTTTGTGCCTTTGGGCAGATCGTGTCCAGCTCTCCTGAGGCCTCGAGCTCCTGGGGGAAAAAAAAAAAGGAAAAAATGAGGGGGGAAAAGGGGGAAAAATGATGGGGGAAAGGGGAAAAAATGAGGGGGAAAAGCACAAGTAAGAGGTGGAAAAAGGACAAAAAAACGGTGGAAAAGGGACAAAAAGAGGCGGAAAAAAGGGACAAAAATGAGGTGGGAAAAGCACAAATAAGAGGTGGAAAAGGCACAAGAAAGAGGCAGAAAAATCAAAAAAATGAAGGGGAAAAAGCAAAAAAATGAGGGGGGAAAGAAAAAAAATGAGGGGGGAAAAGCACAGAAAAAAGCGTTAAAAGCTCAAATAAGAGATGGAAAAAGCACAAAAAAGAGGCAGAAAAAAGGCAAAAAATGAGGCGGAAAAGGTACAGAAATGAGGTGGGGAAAGCACAAAAAAGGTGGAAAAGGCACCAAAAGAGGCGGGAAAAAGCAAAAAAAAAAAACGAGGCGGAAAAGGCACAAATAAAGGTGGAAAAGGCACATGAAAAGAGGCGGAAAAAGCACATTAAAAGGCGGAAAAAAGCACAAGAAAAGGCACATAAAAAGCACAAGAAAAGGCACATAAAAAGCACAAGAAAAGGCACATTAAAAGCACATGAAAAGCACATGAAAAGCCCATAAAAAGCGTGGCAGGGCAGTGGCGGCTCTGGGCACCTTGACGATGTCCAGGCCCCCGATGAGCTCCCCAGACACGTAGAGCTGTGGGTACGTGGGCCAGCTGGAGAACTCCTTGAGCCCCTGGCGAACTCCCTCGTCACAAAAAACGTCAAAGCTGCTGAAAGCCACGCCGTGCCTGCTCAGGATCTCCACCATCTGCTTGCTGAAGCCTGAAAAAGCAAATTAAATGGAATTTCAGCTGAGTTCTGCTCACCTGATGAGGTCCTAAATGGATTTTTTTTTATCAACGGTCAGCTGCGGGTATATGGGTTAATAAAGTGTAGAAATGTAGGAACTGATAAAGCATGGAAATATATAAATGAATTAAATATAGAAACTTATAAAGCATAGAAATATATAAATAAATTAAACATAGAAACTTATAGAGCATAGAAATATATAAATAAACATAGAAACTAAGAGAGCACGGAAATATAGAAACAAATAAAACATAGAAACTTATAGAGCATAAAAATATAGAAACAAATAAGATATAGAAACTAATAGAGCATAGAAATATAGAAACAAATAACACAGGAATATATAAAGAAATAAAGCATAGAAACTAATAGAGCACAGAAATATATAAACAAATAAAATATAGAAACTTATAGAGCATAGAAATATATAAAGAAATAAAGCATAGTAACTTATAAAGCATAGAAATATATAAATAAATTAAACATAAAAACTTATAGAGCATGGAAATATAGAAACAAATTAAACATAGAAACTAATAGAGCATGGAAATATATAAACAAATAAAATATAGAAACTTATAGAGCATAGAAATATATAAACAAATAAAACATAGAAATATATCAAGAAATAAAGCATAGAAACTAATAAAGCATATTAATATATAAACTAATAACACGTATAAATATATAAACTAATAAAACATATAAATATATAAACTAATAAAACATATAAATATATAAACAAAATTTATAAATATATAAGCATATTAAAACATACCAACATGCAAACAGATAAAAACATACAAACAAATAAAACATATGGACAAATGAAACATTCACAAATAAAACATATTCACAAATAAAACATATAAAACCTATTCAAACAGCTTCAAACAACAGAAAAGGGCCAGAAATGTTTAATACGTGGTAATTATTTCATATGGTTTCTGTTTAGGTATTTATTATTGATTTATTTTTGTTAATTTATTACTGTTCTCACTGATTCAGCTTTAAAACTTGACTTTTACAAGTATTTTCTACTTAAATTTTCTACTTCACTTTAGGAGCATCCTTCCCTGCCTCACCTAGAAGGCAAATATTTTTTTATTTCTTCAATTTTCAATGTTTTCCTGAGTGTTTAATGTTCTTTTCTCACCTCTCTTTTACCTTCCCACCATGTTTTATTTTCCTTGCTGACACATTTCCATAGGAACCCTCTCAGAGCCCAGTGTGGGTTTGTCTGGAGCCTCTCTAGTTCTGCTTACAGTGAATTATTTAATTTTTATTACAGAGCATCTTAATGCATGGCAGCCAATTAATAATTTTATTATGACCTACAGACTATCAGAAATACTAACATTTCCATATTCATGGAATTATTCTTGAATCACAAAAAGTCAGTGTGTCACAGTTTAAGCTACAAGTTGTTTTTTTTTAGTTTTCTTGCAGTGGAAAATTTTAAAATCTTTCTTTCTATCTGCAACTTGGCATTTTTGTTTGCTTGTAAAAATCTTTTTTGCTTGGTAAAAATATCTTTTGTTAGAGGTGGATTTATCCTTTGCTCTGAGTCATAAAATCTCCTTCCAACTCACTTGCTCTTTATTTTCTCAGTTATCCAGTAAAACTGCCTCAACAATTATTTTCTATATTAAAACTTAATTTTATTTCTATTCCTTCTTCAGATTCCACATTCAAAAATCTGTTATACATACACACACATCTGTGAGATTTTCCTGTCAAATCCTTCTTTTTTTCCAACATCAAGGTGTTGCTGTTGAAACACATCATGACAGAAAGATTTCTATGAAAATGTTTCTATGAATTATAGGCAGGTGCTTTTATTGAAGAGCTCTGGCAATCAGGGGTGCAGACCCAAATCTGAACATGGTTTTATATATATATAAAAAAACATGTTTTATATATATATACACATGTTTTTATATCTACATATGTATTTAAAAAGTGGGTTTTTATATATATAGACATGTTTATATATGTATATGCATTTTTTATATATATGTATAAAAACATGTTTTTTATATATAGACATGTTTTTATACATATGCATCTTTATATATATAGACATGTTTATATATATATATATATAAAAACATGGGTTTTATATATATATATATATATAACACTATATATTAATTATTAAACCCATATTCTTCTATTGCATACATTGATCTTATCCAACCATGAACTCTTGTAATTTTTATTACACCCCCCAAATATCCTTTCCATGATCCTTGTTAGGATTCCATCGTTTCTCATGATTCCTATTATATTAAACAATAATTATATCCAATGCCCAAAGAATGGTTACATTGAACAATCAGATAATTGATTATTTGATGATTACATGATGATCATTTGATGATTACATGATGATCATTTGATGATTACATGATGATCATTTGATGATTACATGATGATCATTTGATGACTATATGATCACTTGATGATTAGATGATGATCA